CACAATTTTTACGATCTTGACGAGTAAATAACTTTACGAACCGGAAGTTGCGACCTGTCGTCATTTGCCATTTCTGATCTAAAGAATCTGTTATAAGCTTTACGTTCGGTAGATTACAATTCTTTTTGCATTTTACCCAACCTAATGTTTAACTGTGGTTTTGCCTCAGCTTATTATTCTGTTTCCCAGTTTTTCACGTCAAGGCTAGTTTCAGTTTATCCCAACTTTTTGTACCATCCGTTTTTATTCGCGTTTAGTGTACTATTTTTTGTTTTACGGTCGTAGACTTTTTCTAGAATCCGTATGACCATTTACGTCATTAAGGTCCTGAAGAATTCAAGCAATCGACCCGGTTGCTATTTCTCTGTTACATCTGGCATGCAATGTGACAATTGCAAAGGTTAGTTCCATGAAGCGTATACAGACCTTAAAGTAACTGCTCACAACAGGCTCAGTAAGTTGGATCATAAATGGGTGTGTGTCACTTGCAACACGAATGCGGAAGTTTTGCTGAGCAACATCATTCTCTTGACAGGTCTGCGGAATAAGTTGCCAGCAAACTTGAAAAAAGATCATCCGAAAAACGGTTTTACACTCAATGACGCGCAACGTAAACAAGAAAGGGGATCTAAAAATCACTAATATCGATGGAGCATGTAATAGCACTAGTGAAGACATGCTGAAACTCAGCACCATCACAATATCGACGGTACCAGACTGCCTCAGTAGACTTGGGTCTCCTTGCACACGATCCATGAATGCAACGGTGATTCCTAAAAACTCTGTGAGTGATTGGAACCTCGTTAACAAAGTTAAAGAGGTCCGGGCGTCACCGTCTAAGGAGCTGAATATTGTGGTGAAATCAGCTGGTAATTTGGCCTAACAGTTTGCCTTCAAGAATGTCCAACCGGAAACGCGCTACGAATCACAAGCAACAAGGTCCTCAGCATGAACGTACCTGAAGACCCTGAAAAAAACAATAACGGTTCGCAATGATTCTTTCATAATCTTGGATATTATATACAGGCCTGACCTTCCCCTCAGTTTGCAGAACAAGCATGGTAGGATGCTCTTGGAAGTGTTAAACAACAACCTTGAACTTCCCGAAATAGAGCCTTTGAGGATCACACAGCTCACCCGAGAAAGCAACAAAATCACACAACACTACTTCGTGTAAAACTCACTAACACTACCGACGTAGAGGATATCCTACTGGTTAGTCACTTACTGAAATCAGGTGCGAACGTAAGAACACTGCCTGATATACCGTATTTTGAGGGCGATCTCCTCCGGACCATCCCTAAGAAATCTCGAGGGAAGTTTTTCCGCGAAGGAAGTCTCATTGTGAAGGTGTACTGGGAAACACGAACCCTGACCACACCAACTCTGTTATGCGGAAACGGAAATTCATCAACCACACAGTGACTCAACAATTGGGGGAGACTAACCAAGAAGGACGGAGATTCTAGACCCCGACTGATGAAGATAACCTTCCCATCCTCCCATATGGCGGCTGCAACTCTGAAAACATTTCGTGCCAACAGACGTCCGTCGCCAATGTGTATCTATGTGCATTCGGATAGGCCACATGACGCCATGATCAAGTGTAAAGTCAAATGGGAGCTGATCATTCCACTTGTGAACTGTTTAGATAAGGAAAAACGTGGAAAGGACAGGGAATATCTACTTGGAAAGCCTTTTATAGGTAGGCTACCTGTTCAATCTTGTAAGGCTCATACAGACAAACATGAAGGAGAAGTTAACGCGTTCTAAATTGAAGGCTTAAACTGCTTATACATGAACGCTGAAAGTTTACTGAATAAAAGGGATGAGCTTCATGAACTCAGCAATGCTAATAATGCTAAGCTGGTAGGAATATCTGAAACTTGGATATCTTCTCAGTTTACACGGGGTATCTTTGTTTCTCAATGACAGAAAAGCAGGAATCGGGGACGGAGTAGCCTTATATTTACGATCCTGCCTGGCGGTACATCTAGTGCATGCTCAAGAGTTCGTCGATCTTGATGAATCCGTATGGTGCTCAGTAGGATTGTCTACCACCTCAAGGTTTCTGGTTGGAGTCACCTACAGGAAGCTTATTGCTGACATCCAGTACGACAATCGTATGATGAAAGTATTGTTCAGATCTAATTCTATCAGATTCACTCATACCCTGATTCTGGGGGACTTCAATCTTCCTAATGTCAAGTTCGCGGAACATATGTATATTGGAGGTGAAAGCTCTACTGAAACTTGGTTTTTCAACCTCATGGAGGATCTGGGATTATGGAAAATGTGAAGTCGACAACTCACCTGAGAAACAATCAGGCACCGTCGTGCTTAGACTGGGTATTTACAAACGAAGAATTCCTAATTGGCAATCTTGGGTATTGGGGAAAGGCGATCATGCCATCAAAGATTTTAATTTTGTCATCAAAAATGAGCTAAGATACCCCACCAACAATAGGCGCTGAAATTTCAAACGGTTGGGTGTGTCAGCTTTACGGGACAATCTGCTGTATGTGGATTAGGAAGTCTACCCTCAACTTGGCGTAGGTGCTCACTGAGATTCCTTACTTTACACGATCTTGTGTGCTACAGGGTAGTTTGTTCCTCAAGTGATCCCCAAAATCCACAAGCAGCCTACAGTCATCAAGAACCTCACTATTCGTTTGCTAAACCGCAAAAGACAACTTGGGCGACTTCCCTCTTAAAGGACCCCAATTTGAAGAAGATTTAGGAGTACTGGTACCCTAGGATTTGAAGTCTTACGCTAACTGTGACAAAAAATGCCTTTCGAGCAAACCTTGCACTGGTAACATTGAGGAGCATTTTCGGCCAGTTTGACGGAAGAACTGTCCACATAATCTTCAACCGTTTTCTTTGTTGGAGTAAAGAAACATATTATTTCCTTCCTCACTTCAAAAGGATAAGTACACTCTGTAACATATCCAACGGCGAGCCACGAAATCAGTTCGGGTACTCAAATTCAAGCCATATGAAGAGTGCCTCCAATCACTAAAATTTTACCCGTTAGAGTACAGGCGTATTAAAAGTGACCTTCTTATGGAGTTTCAACACTTCTGAACATCCTCTTAAACACCTATTTAAGTTTAGCTCCAACACAAACCTAACGGGAAAACCCAGTAAGTGGAGACAGAATTCAGCAGAACGGACTGTAGGCACAACTTCTACTGCCTAAGAGTAGTCAAATGCTGTAATTTGCCGCCGGATGAGCTAGCTCGAGCGACTTTCCAGGAGTCCATTGTCAGCAAACTTGACATATTCTTAAGGACTTACTATGACTTACCCATTTCTTTTCCCTCTTTTATCATTAATATACCTAGGTTCCTGCCTGAAGGTATTGATGATTCACTGCTACTAGACACAGAATCTCGTGAAGCGAAAGCTTCTTCTATTCTTTCCACAACCATTTCAACCATTTGGATAACCTTGCCTATCGAAATTTGGAGTTTGAATGTCTTAAAATTTTAAGGTCAGGGTCACTGTTATCGAGTGGTTGTCTGTTTCAACGACATAGTACGTTCATGTTAGTGTTTATGTCTTCATTGATATTCAATCACTTATTCCTGATGCGATTTCAGCTAGTCTCTCTGATACATACATCCTTGGGTAGTACAAGCAGACGGAATCGGGCAAATAATGAAGTTTGTTGAATACTTGGGAGATTTCTTAAGTAAAGTTGGTGAATTTGGGAGAAGATGCACTAAACTAACTCCTTTTCCCAGGGATAAAATAGTGCGGGCTTTCATATGGACATTACCATTTAAGGAAAATATCTTAAAGTTGACACCTTAACCTTTGCTTAAGCTCTTAACAAATATCCTGAATGCTTTCTAAATAGTTTAATTTTCGCAGTCTGCATATTTTTCGCCGAAATTAACATTGGTTAATCTACGACCGCCTATATACCATAGGTGTCCTGTGTAGTTGACATTATTTAAAAAATAACATATGAGAAAAGCCGTTTATTCACATGAATTAAATTTACAGTCTCCAAGACTATTTATATCCAGATTACAATCGAACATTTCAACTGATAAGAGTTTTTCATCATTAATGGTTGTCTTCTGTAATCTAAAGGGAGAAATAGTCTGGATTGTACAGGTTTTACTGAATAAATATATTTACTAGGGATGGCTCTTATGTAGACTTACTTGTTAAATCGGCGAGACTCTACTTTAGCGACGACCTTTTGAACGAATCTTAAATGACCTTGACAATTATTAGCCAATCAGAAAACAGTTAGTATAAAGTGAGAATATATTGTAAGTAATGAATTACAGTGGATATTCTTCTTTTATATGATTTAAAAACTTGTTGAGGTTTGATGAAGGTTCAGCGGCTCTGAATTCATAATGCCTATTGTATAGAAACTCGTCCATAGGGTTAGTGGTTAGAGTTATAGCCCGTCAATAGACACCTCTTCTCTAAAATCCGATCACATGTTAGCACCCTAACCCTAATCTAACCCTAAACCCTAATCTAACCCTAACCCAAACCTTAACCTAACCCTAACCTTAAACCTAAACTTTGATCTAACCCTAACCTTAACCTAACCCTAAACCCTAATCTAACCCTAAACCCTAACCTTAGCCCTAAACCCTAATCTAGCCCTAACCTTGACCTAACCCTTAACCCCAAGCGCTAACCCTATGGACGAGTTTCTATACAATATGCATTATGAATTCAGAACTTCTGAGCCTTTATCAAACCTCAACAAGTTTTTAAATCATGTAAAAAAAGAATATCCACTGTAATTCATTACTTTCTTGTAATATATTTTTACTTTATACTGTCTTCTGATTGGTTAATAATTGAAATTGCTCAAACGCTTCTCATTGGCTCATCCCTAAATTAGAGTTTCGCCGTCCCATCTGTTTTAACCTCTCATTAATCACCTCCCCTCTAAAATCCGCTGTGAACCGACCGTATGTTAGCATCGCGTGTTGAACTTGGCTCCGTGACCTTGAAATTGTTCAAACGATTCTGATTGGCTCGTCGCTAAATTAGAGTCTCGCCGTTAAATCTAATTTTATTCAGTGCACTAGACCTAATTGAAAATATCGGTCTATGTTTAAGAAACGCCTATCTATAAAAAATGGCAACAATATAAACATAGAATTCAACGATCCATCGGTTGTCAATATGGGGCACTGTTTGTCACTTGAACTCTGAAACGGGACAACAATCAACACGTTGAGGGTTTTTTGTAAAATGTTCGTTACAAGGTAAGAATTACAATGATATTATTCAGGGCTAATTCCTGTGCCTGAAAAATGGAAAGCAGAAGTTATTAGTGAGGATTGTGACTTATGTTACCTTTCTATCTACAATAACACTTACTCTCTTAATCTCTCATGTAGTAAAAGTGACCTGTCGAGGTAGAACCCTAAACTTCGGGAAGATCTTTCTCACTAACACTGGACGTTGAGAGTTTCCATGCTAATGGATCATGTGAATAGGTCACAAAAAGAATTCTCACTTTCTACACTGTCGTAGAATTGAAACTTTTTTGGCAGCTTCCGTCAACTTAAACTTGGTCTCTAAATCTGGTTTCACTATATCATATAAAATAGTCATAACTTATTATTAGTTGGTTACTCATCAGCCTAGTTATTATTGACATTCAAAAAGTAAAGCAATTACAAACTAAATCAGTTGACAATTAGATTTATCTCGAGTATCTCATTGTTGAAGACATCTAACGCTTCCAATTCTTCTTCAGGGAACCGTAAAATAGATAATCCCCTGCCGATTTCCTTTGATCACCACATATAGTTGTTTTTAATAGCAATATCACCTGTCTCATATTCACTAGCATTTCAGCAACGATGGTTCGAAGTCTTTTTATATTTACATTCATTTTTTGGTAAGCCATGAGACTGAAAATAGCTTTAAACCAAGCTTTTTCATCCCAAATTGCTCTGTTACTTAGCACCGAAGTACCTTGTGATGGCAATAACGGCTTTGCTTGAACTTATACAAAGTTTTAGAAATAACAGGCTTACTTTCCGATTGGAGAGTCTGGAGTTTCTGACAACCTAAGCTTAAAGTATTCAGCTTGACCGTACCCAGCCTACATTTCTGCGACATTCAAGTTGAAGGGATCATACAAGTAGTCAGGTTTTCTCTTCACTGTGTTTCTGCGAACAACGGACAGAAATAACGCACTTGCCGTTTGGATTTATCTGTGTGTTGGGGTAGTGTGTTCACATCATGCTAGTTATTGTATCCAACGGCTGGACCAAATCAGACGCAGAACTGAAATCATCTACAGGAAAATGATTAGTGATTTTTTAGAAAAGTAAAATAGTCCAGAACCGAACTTTTAATAGTCAGCCAACTGTCGTCCGTATCCACCTTGTTCACTACCTAGACATGCGGGCAAATGCACTTTTTAACAAAAGAACAGATCGAGCAAAAAAATTTCAATTAGTTTTTTGTCATAGCTTTACACTAATATATATGATTTAAAATAATGAAATAATGCATTTTTGATTAATAAGCCGCTTGGTCGCTACAGCGAGGATCTCTTTCTTAACCAATTCATTCTTTCAGTCAGTAACAACGTAGAACTTCGTACGTACGTACATCAGTTCGAGTTGCCACACCACATTAGCACAGAGATGCAGTTGTCGATTCAAATTCCGTAGTGGTAGAGGTAGAAAGAGTATAAGCAGTAATCAAAAAGATTAGGGTATGGAGATGTTATTTAAAGAGTATAATCCAGTGAAGTAAAGTTGGAAAGAGAAAAAAAGAGACAAGGAGGAATCAGGAGATTAGAATTTGGAAGAACACAAAGAGTGTATGCACCTGCGCCATTGCAAACGACTTTGAGCCATGTCATTCAGGGTCTCTAACCATCGGTTGCTATCATCTCGCGGTCCCCAACCTAGTAGTCTACACCTACCGATATATGACTCAGTCTACTTGTCAGTGACTTCATGGACTTGTGCCATGTTTTGGTCTGGCCGAACCTAGCTTTCTTCCAATCTACTCCTATACAACAAAACATCGCACATCGAGGCAGTCGGTGGTTGGGCATACGTAACACGTGTCCCAGCCATCTCAACTGATGAAGTTTCACTACGGCAGCCCTGACGAACACCACTTGAGGTAATCAATTCTGATGACAGTTCGCCATAAGCTCTCACTCGACCAGCTGTGCTCGAGTAGAAAGCCTTTACAAGGTTAATGTACTTCTTTGATACTCCTTTCAGTGACAAACACTGCCATAAAACCTTACGATCAACAGAGTCGAATGCTGCCTTAAGGTCGAGAAATACTACCATTGTGGGGCATCTGAATGTGTGTTATAGAACCTGACGTATTGTGAATATCTGATCTATACAACCACGTCCAGGTCGAAAACCAGCCTGATTTTCTCCAGTCTGTTCTTCACGAGCTTTAGTTAAGCGTCGAAGTATTATTGAAGCTAATATTTTAGACACTATATTTGTCAAACTGATTCCTCTGTGATTGTCACAAGAGGACTTTTGTCCTTTCTTATAGACTGGCACAATCAGTGATTGAGACCAATAAGATGGGATTACGTCCAGTTCCCAAATTCTACCTAAGACCTCAGTTAATCTCACTGCTAATACTGAACCACCATCCTTAAGAATCTCAGGAGTAAACCTGTCAGGTCCTGCTGCTCTTCCTCGCTTCAGATTTCCTGTGGCTTTTCCAACTTCGTAAACAGTTGGACGACCTACATTAACTTGCCATTCAGGTTGACTGGAGATCGTGGGAAACCGAAGTGTGGCTGAAGGGCCATCGACCCAATCTCCTGGATCGAGAACTTATATATCCATCTTTCTCTGAGTGTTTCGCTAACAGTCGGTTTCCTAATACCGGTTTCCTTAACAAGTCTGAACAATTATCTGCTATTACCTATTGCCGCTGCCTTTTCCATCATTCTTGCTTTCGCTACCCACCACTGTTCACGATCATTGCGTAGACTTCTTGTCAGCTTGCGCTTAAGTCGACTCCGCTTTTCATTATGCTCAGAGCCAGGTGGAATGAGTTTCCGAGCATCTATCAGTGCGATAGATGCTGCTGAGATCCAGCGACAGTCTTCTATCGAGCCCCTCCATCGGTGGCTGATAGCGATGTGATCTATTTGGGTCGAACGTCGGGACGAATTAGGGGGTCGCCATTTTCAAAGATGTTTTTCCTTATGCTTAAGGTTAGTATTTTCAAGAAACTGGCGGCTATCTGAGCATAGCTGCAACAGACGGTCGCCATTATCTGTTCTTTGAGCCACGATGCTATAAGATCCACCTAGGTGTCTTTCCCTATCGCTTAGTTTACCTACTTGAGCATTAAAGTCACCAGCCACTATTACTACATCAGAGCGCCCAGTTTTTCGGAGAAGGTTGGAGAGCTTTCTGTAAAACTCATCTTTTACATCATCTGCGCTGCAGTCAGTGGGAGAATAGGCAGAGATGACGAAGAGGCAACGACGAGTGTCCCTATCTTCCCGAGTCTTTACTGTTCTGTTTAGTCGGACAGCGCACAAACGACTGTCTACTGGGATCCAGTCTAAGAGAGCTAGTTCTGCCCTAGGACTCAATGCTATACCTACGCCGGCGAGGCCACGGGAAGCAGAATCAGGGCTTCCAGATACACGAAGTGTGAATCGAGTCGGTTCTTTATTTTGGCATGGTGAGGTCAAATGAGTGACGCTACTCGGATCCTGTATACGCGTTTCGGAGACGCAGCACACATCGATGGCATGAGATTCTAAAGTCCTAGCTAAGGAAGCCTGCTGTCCTATTTGGCACAGTGTTCGGACGTTGAAAGCTCCTACGTGTAGTTTAGAGCGTGGTTTCAGGAGACCGGGAATAGCGTTCCGCATACTCGAATCGTTTGCCCTAGAGGTGCGAGGTGATAAAGAGACGTGAGGAGGGTTAGTCATGGAGATAAGAGAGGTATTCGGAGGTGTAGGAGGGATTTGAATGTGACCAACTTGGTCTCGTGTGCTGGTACGGGTATGAGGGCTGATATCACTTCCCGGCTGACCACACCGTGGAAGGGTATTTCTTGAGGAACCTGAAGAGGAAATTGGATAAGTGTTGGTCTTAACGACCTGGAAGCGTGATCGCAGAGCCCAAAGGACAACTGCCTGAGGCCGGTCGTGCACGGCCTTTTCGTGGAAGGCTTTTAATGTGTTAGCCCTGTTCTTCAAAGGGCCTTACCGCCGGAGACGGGAATCCGTGAGGTGTGACATTTTGAGGGTCGACCTTTTCTAACCCCACCCCTCCTTGTGGGAAGGCAGCATCGCTGTAGTTGCTGGTTGTCTGAGGGAAACACCTTACTACTGTCATACCCCTCTACAGTCAGCAGCACGACTTCGCCCTCAAACCCTGAGTTGCTGCTTCTAGTCTTACCGTTCTCCAATCGACCTGCCTGGCATGGTAGAACCTACAGGAACATATGTTCCAGCCAGTGTAGCTCGGTCATCACGATAGGCAAGCCCGACCACCGCGTCAAGGTAGCAGCTTCGGTCGGGAATTCGTTCTTCAGTCTGCCGCAGGAGAGTTTACTTGTTGCTTGTATTGAAACGTTAGTTAACTATTATTCTAAATGATGTCAACCTAGTATCTTTCTAAATATTAACCTACTTAATAGGATCGTACTGTATTTTTCATGTCTTCTGTTTTCTAAAATTTCAGACCTTGTGATATTCTGAAAAAGTGTAATGAAACTGGCATTCGTGTGATTAGTTCACTCATCTTACAAACAATATATTACTCCTCTTTAGGTAACTGGGTCAAACAAAGGCATTGGATATAGCATTGTTGAAAAGCTTGCAGAATTTTATGGGACGTCAGGAGAGTGGGATATTTATCTAACAGGTAAGAAGTTGTTGGTTGATAATTTAACAGCTCGAAATGTTGAGCTTGGTCAGGAAGCTGTGGAGAAGCTCAGTAACAAGGGCCTGGATGTTAAATTTCATCAACTAGATATAACTGATCGAGATAGTCGAAAAGCGTTCCTAACATTTGTAGAGAGAAACTATCCTAATGGAATCAACATTGCAGTGAATAATGCTGGATTTGCCTACAAAGTTTTTGTTTTTTATTTTATATTTTTCAAAGGTTAACTCCACTGCTCCCTTTGGCGAGCAAGCACGAGTTACGGTGAACACCAACTTCACATCAACCATTGATTTCACGGAAGAGTTCATTCCTTTGTTAGCTAAACATGCTAGGTACTAATTTATACTAATTTATATTTTTACAGGGTTGTCAATGTATCTAGTTCTGTTTCTCTAACCAGTCTCAAGAAACTTAGTGATGATCTTTACGAAAAGTTCGTTAGTCCAATAAATCTTTTGGAACTTCGAAAGCTCGTCTCCGAGTTTGTAAAGTAAGTCATTTTATTCTAATTTAGGGAATAATAGATCAATAGCAAATAGTTCAACCAAGATTACCATAGTTACATCAAATAAATTTTCATATCTCTTGGGTGTAACTTTTTTGTATGTAATTCACAGTGGGTTGCTGGAATAACATTCTGATGAGATACCTTTATGTGTTTTTGTAATTGAAGAATGAATACAAAGTCATCAAACTCTTATCTCACAGTCGCATTACGTAATCGATTTGATGTGTAGTAGTAAAAGTAAAATATGATCGGTCGTTTAGCGTGGACAAACAGGCACTTAGCATACGGACTATTAAATATGTGACGTTCTTTCCTGTCATTGATGTCTACTCCGGACTCACTGAGCGTGACTACTTGTAGTTGTATTGAATAAAGTATTATCTAGTATAGTCTGGTTCTCTATTCTGAGTCGTGAATCCTGAATCCTGATAACGTGACTAGCCTCTTTATCGTATTGACATGCCATTGTAGAATACGTAAGAGTGAAAAAATTGAAACCGTACGTTATATCACTATTCACAACAAATCCCTGTAACTTACGGTGCATTTGTCACAGGATTTCCTGATTGTTAGCAAAACCAAAGGGATGTTCCATCCTTTGACTTCCTAGAGTTGAGAATTACTAACCTTCATGTTTCGCATCGATCCATAATGGGTCATAACTTGTCATCAAATTATAACGAATATGAAACTTTTATGATTGTTCATTATTTTAGTGATTTAAATTCCCCTTCAGTTGTTTTGTTTTAATTTTGATAGTGTTATAATCTCTTTTTTACGGTTATGACCCCAGCTTTTTCTATTGCTTAGTATTCTTGGACACCAAATCACTCGACAAGTCCCCAAATCAGAACACGATTGAACAGGAAAGAGATTATATTCCAAATAACAAGGTTAGATGGAAGCAAGAAGCCAGTAATAAGCACAATAGGGAAAAACGTCAGTATATTTATAGTTTTTACATGAGAAGATTCTAGAGTATTCTCCAACTATCTACTGGTGCTGTTTGGATAAGAATGAGCCAATCAGTGTGCACCAAAGCAATCGTGCATTGAGCATGCTTTAATCCAGTCTATGTCCCAGTAACACAGAGTTAACAAAAAGTGCCTCGTTTCAGTCATCTAATGATCCGTTTTTGAAAAGGTTTTGTTATGTTCCTTACGTTGACAACAATTATTTTTGTTCGGAGTTAACGTGACTTCGTAGTTCGTTGTTCAAATACTCACTTCCTTAGATTGGTCTGCGACGTTCTTGATTGTTAATTATATTCCTCTCCTTTATATTCTTACGACTTGTGTACTCCTGTTACTCCTCGTGGAGCATAGACTGCCCACCAGGTTTCTTCAACCGACTTTGGTCTGGGCTCTCCTTCCCACTTGTTTCCGATCGCAATTCGTTTTTTTATTGTCTGTCTCCAATTTCCTGCGCTATGTGTTCGTTGGTATTCTTTTCCAGTTGCCCTTAGGTTTCCAAAATCCCTTAACTCCCAGGGGAGAATGTAAATGGTTTAAATGGTTTTTTGATGGTTAGCGTTTTTTCATCATGGTTGTTTTTTACGGGATAGGTTTGCTGACGCTATGTCTAACCCTCCTATATCTGGACTTGGGACCGGCAACAACCCTAGAAGGGCTAACTAATTCTTTCTTCCCGTATCATATCTTTCAGTCAGTCAGTAACAACGTAGAACTTCGTACGTACGTACATCAGTTCGAGTTGCCATACCACATTAGCACAGAGATGCAGTTGTCGACTCAAATCCCGTAGTGGTAGTGGTCTCGACCGTCGTTGCTACCTTGACGTGGTGGTCGGGCTTGCCTATCGTGATGAACCAATCGGGTTAAACTGGCTGGAACACTCGTTCATCAAGGTTCTGCCATACCAGACAGGTCGGTTGAAGAACGTTAAGACTAAAAGCAACAAACCCAAGGTCCGAAGGTGAAGTCGTACTGCTGAGTGTACACAGGTGTGACAGTAGTATGGTGCATCTCTCAGACAACCACCATGACAGCAATGCTGCCTTCCCACAAGGAGTAATGTAGTTAGAAAAGGTCGACCCTAGAAATGCACACCTTGTCTTATCCCATGGATATCCGTCTCCGGCGGTGAGGTCTAAACAAGTACGGAGCTAACACGAAAATTACTCACAGAAAGGTCGTGTATGACCGACCTCAAACAGTTGTCCCTTGGGCACTGCGGTCACATTCTCAGGTCATTAAGACCACCTCTAATCCAATTTCCTTTTCAAGTACCTCTAGAAGAACCCTTCCACGGTGTGGGCAACCGGGAAGTGAAAACCGCCCTCACATCTCTAACAGCACTCAAGACCACCCTATTCATAATCAACCTCTTTCTTCTGTCCCTATTATTCCTCCTACATCGACTTTCAACACTAAACTTATTATTTTGGCTTCCTCCTCAAGTATCACCATGGTCAACGATTCTAGTGCGCAAAACACTGTTCCTGGTCTACTGAAACCTCGCTCCAAACTACACATTGGAGCCTTCAACGTACGCACCCTATGTCAAATCGGCCAGCAGGCGTCCTTGACTGAGATTCTAGAATCTCGTACGATTGATGTATGCATACAGGATCCTAATGTGGTCATTCACTTGACCTCACCTCCGCAAAACGGAGAGCCGACGAGATACACCCTCTGTGTATCTGATGGCTCGAGGGCCAGCTCTCGTGGACTGGCAGGAGTAGGGATAGCACTAAGCATGAGGGCGGAACAAGCACTGTTAGAGTGGATCCCTGTTAACAGTCGTTTATGTGCTGTTCGGCTAAACGGCTCCGTAAGAACTCGGAAGGATAGGGACACACGTCGTTGCCTTTTTGTCGTTTCTGCCTACGCTCCCACCGACTGCAGCTCAGATGAAGTGAAAGATGAATTTTACAGAAAGCTTTCTGAATAAGTTCAGAAAGCTAAACGCTCAGACATGGTATTTGTAGCAGGTGACTTTAATGCCTAAGTAGGTAGCTTAAACCAAACAGAAAGACATTTAGGTGGGTATTTTAGTATTCCAGCTCAGCGAACAGATAATGGTGATCGTCTGCTGCAACTGTGCTCAGACAATCGTTTATTTTTAGCAAACACAAATTTTAAGCATAAGGAGAGACATCGTGTAACATGGCAACTCTCTACACTAAGCTAACGATGGACTCAAATAGACCATATTGCCATCAGTCATCGTTGGAGAGGGTCGGTAGAAGATTGTCGCTCATTCCGGAGTACCTGCTTAGACTCCGACCATGCTCTAATACGGGCACGCATCTGCTTGCGCCTCACTGGACGCAAAACTCCACACTTAAAAGACCCATTAGAACTGAATTGAGTAGCGAGAAAACCAAAAGTAGGTTCCAGGAACGACTGAGGTCACATTTAGGTAATTCTGAAAACGAGGTTGACCCAGATGTTGCTTGGAAAGATATACAAACAGCTGTGGAAACAGCAGTGACATCTGTCAGTGATTTAAACCACAGGGTTACAAAGAACCAATGGGTTTTCTCAAGGTCTATTGCACTGATGGATTCTCGTAAACTCATCCCATCAGGCTCTGAACACGATGAAGAGCGACAACAAATCAGATCTAGGTTAACCGAAAGTCTAAGGAACGACCATGAGCAGTGGTGGGTATCGTAAGCAAAAGAGAAGGAAAAGGCAGCGGCTGTAGGCAACACAAGATAGCTCTTCAGACTCAAAAGAAACTGGGACTAAAAAGTCGAGTGTAAATGAGACTATCTCGGAAAAGGACAAAACTCTTGTCTACTCTCAGCCCAGAAGTTCAGAACGGTGGGAGGAACACTTTAGAGAACAATTCATCTACTCTACAACTACCCACCATTCCCAGACAGCCTGAATGGAACATTGAAGTAGATCCCTCAACTCTAGCTGAAGTTCAAAAAGCTGTAGTCAATCTGAATCGGGGAAGAGTAGCTGGTTTAGATGGATCGGCTCCAGAGGTCTTTAGGGATGGTGGTCCAATTTAAGTTGTTAGGTTGACTAATATTTAGCTAAAATCTGGGAGTTGGACGTAATCCATCTAAATGGTCACAATCACTGATTATCCCAATATATAAGAAGGGGTGAAAATCATCCTGTGATAACCATAGAGGGATTAGTCTGACTAATATAGCATCTAAAATACTATCCTCAATAATTATCAGTCGTCTAACAAAGACTCGTGAACTAACTGCAAACACGAGAAAATCAGGCTGGCTTGAAACCTAGTTGTAGCTGTATCGATTATATATTCACCATTCGTCAGGTTCTAGGACACAGGCATACTTATCGGCGTCCGACAATGGTGATCTTTCTTGACTTAAAAGCAGCATTTAGCTCCGTAGACTGCGAGATTCTGTGGCAGCGTCTGTCATTGAAAGGAGTGCCTCAGAAGTACATAAACCTTGTGAAGGCTCTTTACTCGAATACTACAAGTCGAGTGAGAGCTTATGGCGAACGGTCATCTGCCTTTGCAACCTCAAGTGGTGTCCGTCGGGGCTGTCCACTATCTTGATTTTTGTTCAAATTCGTCATAGATATACTGATGGAAATAACGCTCCGGGCATTGATCTCCTTCCAGGAGGTCCACTTATCGACTTAGAATACGCAGATGACATAGTCCTATTTGGTGAAGAATCTGATAAAAATCCAGCGTCTTTTGGTAGCACTAAGCAACAATGATAGAATGTTTGAAATGCGCTTCTCTCCCTCTAAATGCAAGCTGCTGCTTCAGGACTGGTCTGCGTCAACACCTGAACTAAGAATAGGGAGTGACGTAGCCGAACGCGTCGATAACTTCATTTATCTTGGAGTGTGGTCAGCACAAATTGGTTGGTATCTGACGAAATCTCAGCATGGATTCAGAAGGCTCTTTTGGCTTTTTCCAATTTACGTCACCTATGGCGAAGGCGAGATATCCGTCTATCAATAAAAGGACGAGTATACTGCGCGGCAGTCCGTTCTGTTTTACTTTACGGCAGCGAAACATGGCCATTAAGAGTAGAAGGCACTCGTAAGCTACTAGTATTTGACCACAGATGCCTTAGAAATATTGCTGGGATTACCGGGTAAGTAATAGTGAGGTTAGACGTAGGGTATTAGGAAATGATGGTAAATCAATTGCTGAGGTTGTGAATCTTCATCGACTGAGATGGTTGGGCCACGTGTTACGTATGCCTGAACACCGATTACCACGACGTGCAATGCTATCCGGTATTGGAGATGGTTGTAAGAAAGTTAGGGGCGGCCAAACCAAAACGTGTCATAAGTGCTTGAAGTCACTAAATTCTGGTCTAAGCCATATTGGTAGATGCGGACTACTTGGTTGGGGTCCGCGTGACTATCGTAACCAATGGTTGGAGACTCTTGGTGACATGACTCAGAATCGATCACAATGGCATCGGTGTATACACTCTTTGTCTTCCCTTAAACCGTGAGATTAAAGTCGCTTTATATCTTTCTTTCAACGAACTAATTCTTTCTTCATGTACTATACCCTTATACACAGTCTTCCTTTTATACATCAATACCATTGTAGTAACTACTATGAATTTGTCATTCATCATGTTATACTAATGAGGTGTGGTAACTTGGACCGATGCATATATGTGTCTGGTGCTACGTTACAGCTGACTTACTGACTGAATCAGAGGTTTTCGTAAAGAAACTAGACGCAAACACTACCAAGAGACAAAAGGAACTGATGACCAGAAAAAAGTGAGAAACTGTAAATTGTTAGAACCCGAAGTGCAAAGATATACAAAAAGAACCAATGTACTCAAAGGTACAGATGATAAATTACTTTCATAATAAACTGTACTCTTGATTGCTTTAACTGAAATAAATTCAGTCTTAATTCGTGACAAACGATTAAAGTGATAGAATTAGCTTAGCAATGTAAAATACCACTGTCATTTTAAAGAGCGCTCTTAAGCATATAAACAAAAGGCAATTTTATGTTTTTAACACAATGATATAAAAAACTTAGAATACAGTCAAATAGTTGTAGGACACGATAGAATAGAATTATTTGTAATTGGTTTTTAATATTATTTGCATTTTTTAAATTAATTCTAATAACTTGTACAATTGCCGTTACTGACTACAAAACTGTTGTCTAAAACATGATCTTTGATCTTCCTTTCCGGTGAACGCACATAGCATGACCCGTTGATTGCCGCATATAAATATACTGCCGCTATTCAAGTTTCTGAACAGAACAATCTATTAGTCCTTATCAAGCCACATTCGGGCCTTGTCAAACATTCGCTTATTAACACTGACTGCTTTTGTGTGATCGTATGTGATTTAATTGCTTTGTGATGTACCAAACAATATATGAACTCAAAAATGATAACCGAGTTATTAAGTACATATAGTAATGTTAACATATATCAGTTAAATGTTATAAAGACAACAAAAATTAGAGACGTTACTTAATTCAGCAGGTTTGTGCGTGTTCTGATTGAGCCTGGTACCAAAATCCACAATTATAGATGATTGAAGATTCCAGTAAGGTTGATGTCCTCCCAGCAGTACAACCATATGTAGAATGTGATATATTCCGATTATAGTCTATAAATGTAGACAGTATAGGTCATCAATCCTATTAAGAATACGGGTGAACTAATCGATAATCGGACCAGAGAGTAACCATGCAACTGCTTTCGTGCCATTATGATCTGACCACATTTTACCTAATATGATCCAACACAAGGAAACAACCTTTGGTTTTCTTCCGAAATAACAGTAGCGACAGCGTTGGTCTAAAAGTTCCAGTTTTTTTGTTACAGCTGTATGGTCCCAGTTATAACTCAGTTTTCAGTCCAAGTTATCACTGAAGTCCAGTTTTCAGGTATAACCAAACTACTGTTTTTCAAGTCTCAGAGATCTAAAAATATGTTATTTTCAGTCACAAAAGTGAAATCAATTCTCCAATTTAATAATGTGTTCATTAAATCTGATTTCTCATCAGTTTATTGAAAGAGCATGTGTTCAAGCGACCAAATTCGGAATCACACTTTGAAACCATATATATAATCTGATAAATTTCCAGCTGAAATATAGAACGGTTGCGAGTTACAGAAAGAGGTCAGCAATATCCTTAATAAGATAAAATCTGGCCAATGTCCAGACAATCTTATATCACATTCCGGTCATCCTAACGATTTAATCATGTTGAGTAAAAGTTAAAATTATTGTGAGACAAGTTTTCTGAGATCCTAAAATATAGCACAGCGACACCGACCAAATCACACTCGATAGAGAAGCTCTGAAGAAGGTGGAAATTTTACGCACCGGAACTGCATTATTGATAAAGAAGGGTAATGTGATACAGATGTGAAGCCACGGATCGGCAAAGTAAGGACAGCATCCCTACAGTTGAAGAATATCCGGAACTCAAAACAACTGTCAGCCAATGTCGGGTTCAGAATTTTTAGTGCTAATGTCAAGACAGTTCTATTGTACGGAGTTGAAACTTAGAGAACTACCACAGCAATCATCAAGAAGGTACAGGTATTTATAAATGATTGTCTACGCACGATACCTCAGGTCTATCTACCATGCTAAATCATCAGTAACCTACTGTGGCGGGGAACAAACTAATTTCCAGATGAAGAGGAAATTAGAAAAAGACGTTAGAGGTAGATAGGACATAACTTGTGAAAATCATTAAGCTGCATCACAAGGCAAGTCCTATCTTAGGATCCTTATGTCAGAAGGAAAAACGGCAGGCCGAAAGACACATAGATCCGGAAATTGAAGACAGACATCGAGACCGTGAGTAGCACTTGTGAACCACTGGGAATGTGAGCATAGAACAAAGTTGCTTGTAGAATCCTGATCGGCGACCTATGGTTCACGTAGGGTAGCAGGCCTAAGTAAATGACTAAGTATGAAGCTCCTAAATGTTAGTCATGGTAGAGAAATCATCGAGTAACTAGTCTTGAGGTGTTATCCTGTTTACTGTCATAACCGGTTGTATTTGTATAAAAGGTGGCTACTCTAAACCGTTGCGGTTGCGGTCAGTAAATTTACTGATTGCTGTTCAAGCAGTATGTAGGGTGTTATTTCCTACTAAAGCTTTCACTGAATAACCAAAGTAACATGGGTTTTTCGATAGACTGGAAAACGAAAACCTTCATCTTAAACTACCAGTTTAGATTGGCTTCTTTTGATCCATATATGGGAGCGATTATCGTCCTTAGTATATGATTTCCTAAATTTACTTCCTGTTAATTTTTCAGTACTATTATTTTGCGAGGTGACTATATCCACCTAAATATTGAATTAGTTTTCAATCCTTCTAGATTTATTTACTGGGTAATTGGTTTTTGTTCAAATCTGTAATTAGGTCCGCTGAGGATGGCACTTATTCTGAAAAAGGTTGGCCACAAAATGCTTATGGTGTGTCTAAGATGGGCCTTACAAAGGCTTCATTTATTTTCGGTGAAATGCTGAAAGATGATCCAAGAGGGATTGTGATAAATTCGGTTAGTTTGTTTTGTTGATATTGTGATGGTTTGTGTCTATTTTTATGCGAATCGTTCTTATCTTAAGATTAGAATAGTATTCGTTTTGTGAAATAAAATACCAGGTAATCCAGTGATTATATACAAATCCATTAATAGTTCAAATTAGCTATATTTATCCATAACGAAGTAACTGATTATCTTGTTATTATGTATTGCATACTTTTTCGTCAATCCAAAATGTGGGAAGCCACAATACGTGCTTTTAACCCTTTTTGAGCTGTAAGACTTGGGTGTCGTGATCCTATTGGTTTGTTGATATCTTGATTTTATAACGCTTGGTTTTCCCGTTTGCACGAATGAGACGTTATTTTACCCTGAACGAATATCTAATCTAGTGACCGTTCCAATGTTTATTCTATAGTACTTCAGCACAACTCAGATCAAGAACACGTGATTAGCCTAACTAGATCATAAGTATATTTCCACACCAAAAACCGACAACAATCACGGTAAGGAATTATATAACTCATCTAATATCTGTCAGATTATCTACCAGTCTGACTAAGCAAACGACCAATCATTAATTTCCTCGCCTACGCATCACTTAGTTCTTGAGATTCTAAAATAAATTACTCAAGCATCATAATAATTTTATTTGTGTAATTAAGTTGCACTAAATTTTCGTCGCGTTGTTATAGGGAGTTTTATTAGAAACTGTCATTTCGTTTGAAATGAACTGTTGTTTATATTTGTCAATGTTCATGGGTGCAGTTTTTTCCGTAAATTTTTCCATGACATAAAATTAGATTTGGCCCTCTATGTATTGATAATTGAATTAATGTAAACACTACAATTTACTACTGAAAAAACCAACTTTATCATGAGAGTTTATGTCCACATTCGTTAAAATGAGAACGAACAATTCGTTTGTAAACCTTATTTATTTTTGATAGTCCTGATTTCAATTATTTCGCTGAGGAAACTCAAGTCAGTTTGTCGGGTGAAACGCTGCAATTTTCTAAATATCAGTTGGTTGAGGTTATTTCAGACATAAGTTTTATAGATATTAAAAGCATTAACTTAACAGGAAAATTGCTCCATTTAAAGCAAAAGTAGTTTTCTAGAGTTTTCTAATAAGGTTGTCACATTTTCAAACTTGAATACATTCTCATTAGTCCAGTTTAGAAATATCTATATAAAAGTTGGATGAATTAACCTGACTTATGATGTATAAGTTCTAGATTGGTAGCGAATGATATCCATTCTTGAATTACAATCAGAGTAGCATAGAACGAGAAATAATTCAATCAAGTTATTCGTTGGATTTATTCATGTAATAATGAATTGGTTACCACATCATATTGTATAAAGTTATCTTTGTTAGTTAACATAATAATAATAATATCAATAATACATTTATCCTTTTCCTCTAAAAGCTGACAATTGGTATTTAACCTACTTCCATCATTTTCTTTGAGCTCTATGTGTTTATGGTTAGTTTTGAGAGCATCTATTTATCCTTATTTCTTAGTTAATTAGTTCGAACAAAGTGATCTTTAAAATGCTAATTATTTGCAGTTTCAACGTGTACGCCATTTAAGGGAAATAATATTCTTATCCTATGTACTTAAATTTAATTCTTAAGATTATTTTCTGTTGAATTTATCGTTCATGAATGTTGTTCTACGTAATGATCACATACAGTAATAAAACAATTTGTTAATCCCAAAATTTAAATTAGGTTATTTAAAAGTTTGTTTCCAGATTAAAATTACTAGGTTTTCATCACACCTGATATAATCATATCAAAAGAATTAATTTTGAGTTTTTTTATTATTAATTTGACAGTGCTGTCCTGGTTATTGCGATACTGATATGACTAGTCACAAGGGAACCAAAACAGCTGATGAGGGTGAGTGTCCAACTGTTTTTTTAGTCAGAACCTCTAAACGTTCGCATATCTGTTATGATTTTTACTTTTGTGATATAGTTAATACTTGAGGAATTGAGTTACACTCCTAACGTCAATAGAAAATAGATATGACTGACAGTCGTGATATAAACCGATAAATAATTTCCAAAGAATCATTTTATTAATGCAGATATTATTTTCCTTTTCTATCTATCATTTTTTAATGACCACGCATAACATGTGCAATCAGTTCGTAAGCTTATTTAATTATTTTACTGATTGTGTGTAAGAGGTTTAATTGTTATAAAAAGACATGTTCTTTCTTATATATGATCTCCATAATGTCGAAAGGACCGTCCGAAGTACCTCGTACACAACTGTTACCTTAAAATGTAAATAAACAAATCTATCCACTCTAATAAAATTCCTGAATATAATATTGCTAACTTCGTTAGTGTTTTCGCAGTAATCGAACCTTTTGATCACACGATTAAGTGACGTGTAAAGTCTGGTGATTACAAACTTCAATTTGCGAAGGGCTACGGTACTTACCCTGTTGGCATAATCATAGAAGGCTGCTTACTAAAATCGACTTAAGGTTACTTGTTACAACATGGAATAAGCAAATGACAGTTGTTAGCTGTGTCGAAATTACAGTAGCAGACAATTTCAAAAGGAAAACGAGAAACCCTTGAAATCTTAGTTTTTATGATAAAACAAATGTTTAGTCAATACGATTGAATCTGGAGTAAATTATTCAAGTATTAATAAAATGAAGTTATAACAATAAATAAATTGAATGTCATCATTCTATGTAAATACATAAAACATTATACAATAACTGGTAGACATAATACTCAAAGCGCTTAAAAGGACTGAGGATAAACTCTACTCTCGTTCGCAATTTTAACATTGCACCTGACACCCAACAAAATTGAAGCGGGGATCATCATTAATGCTATCGTAGAGCATGTTTCGTTCTTTGTCATTTTTGCTGTCTTGCGTGAAAAATCTAAAGTTTTCTATGACGAAAATGCCACTCCATCATGCTACGGTGTCAAGTGTAACACAGTCATTTATGATAAAAAAAGACTGCAACACAGCAAAATTCATACCTCCAACTAATTCTATAATGGAAACTATTCCAAAATATCTACAATTGCGTGACCAAATCAACTAAAACATAACTGTAGTTTTTGACTACTATACACTTAGGTAACAACGTGAGGTTTATCTCCTGCCCTCAAAAGTTATTAAAAAATAAGACTGATCACTGAGAATTAGTAAGTATTATCATACAATATAGACAAGAGGAACGGAAAAAAGAGAATACAGACAGGAAATACAGATCTGACAATTATAATATTAGTAAAAGGTAGTGAAAGTTCTACAGATTCTGTGTAAATGACAGGACGGGCATAATATTATTAAGTTAACACTAAATTATAGTATTAATGTAGTATGATAATTTAAATATTTTGTTACAATAATTAAAATCACTGAATGAATTAAACGAAACGATATCAAAAACATTCAAATATAAAATAATGAAGATTTAATAGATAATATTAAATAAGGTAGTTTTTCAAATTAAAAATCAACGAAATAAAAAGTTAATTACTGATTGTTTTGTGCAAAGAAGCAAATCTTATTCTTATCTTTAAAGTGATCTCGCAATATAAACAAAATAATATATTTGTAGTATCCGCCTGGAGTCCCTCCGGGGGCTACTGCCGGTCCCAAGCCCGGATAAAGGAGGAGGGTTGGGCATGGGATCAGCGTCCACATCCCGTAGAAAACTAACTCGCTAAAAAGACGCTAACCAGAAAAAATTATTCAAACCTTTTAAACTCTGCCCTGGGAGTCAGAAGATCTTCATTTAGAAGAATTATGACACCTCATGATGAAAGCCGAATCCCTTCGGAAGTTACGAGGCTGATGCCCCTTCTGACAACCAGAGCGACCATTTATTTAGGTACATGGAATGTTCGTACAATGTGGGACACTGGAAGAGCCTTCGAGATTGCTGCAGAAATGAGAAGATACAACCTAGAGGTACTTGGGATCAGTGAAACACATTGGACACAAGTTGGACAACAACGACTAACTACAGTAGAGCTCCTGTTATACTCCGGCCATGAAGAAGAAAATTCACCACATACACAAGGAGTTGCATTGATGCTGTCCAAACAAGCGCAAAATGCGCTTATAGGATGGGAATCTCATGGACCAAGGATCATCAAAGCCTCGTTCAAAACAAAGAAAGAGGGCATTTCAATGAACATCATCCAATGCTATGCGCCTACCAACGACTACAATGAAGACGCTAAAGATCAATTCTACGATAGGCTGCAGTCAATAGTCGAGAAGTGCCCAACAAAGGACCTGACCATTCTGATGGGAGATTTCAACGCCAAGGTTGGAACGGACAACACTGGATATGAAGACATCATGGGACGACACGGACTGGGAGAAAGAAACGAAAATGGTGAGAAATTTGCAAACCTATGTGCCTTCAATAAACTGGTCATAGGCGGCACCATATTCCCACATAAACGCATACACAAAACCACATGGACTTCACCGGATCACTCTACACAAAACCAAATCGACCATATTTGCATCAACAAAAAGTTCAGTAGGACAATGGAAGACGTGAGAACCAAGAGAGGAGCTGATATAGCATTAGATCATCACTTACTGGTCGCCAAGATGAAATTGAAACTCAAGAAGCACTGGACAACGGGGCAGACAATATCACGAAAGTTCAATACGACCTTTCTTCAGGATACTAACAAACTCAACAAATTCAAGATAGTCCTCAGCAACAAGTTCCAGGCCTTTCATGATCTACTCAATGGAGAAGGAACTACTGTGGAGAGCAACTGGAAGGGGATCAAAGAGGCAATCACTTCAACATGTCATGAGGTCCTGGGTCACAAGAAGCACCACCACAAGGAATGGATCACTGTTGATACACTGGATAAGATTCAAGAAAGAAGGAACAAGAAGGAAGCAATCAATATCAGTCGAACAAGAGCAGAAAAAGACAAGGCACAAGCTGAATACACAGAAGTAAACAAACAAGTGAAGAGGAGCATCAGAACCGACAAACGTAAATATGTGGAAGATTTAGCAATGACGGCGGAAAAGGCTGCAAGAGAAGGAAACATGAAACAACTGTATGACACAACAAAGAAACTCTCTGGAAATCACCGTAAACCGGAGCGACCAGTGAAAATCAAGGAAGGCAAGGTTATCACCAACACTGAAAAACAAGAAAATAGGTGGGTAGAACACTTCAAAGAACTCTTGAATCGACCAGCTCCACTGAACCCACCCACCATCGAAGCAGCACCCACGGACCTCCCAAACAATGTTGGCCCACTAACAATTGAAGAAATCAGCATGGCCATCAGACAAATCAAGAGTGGCAAAGCAGCAGGACCAGACAACATTCCAGCAGAATCACTAAAAGCAGACGTAGCGGTAACTGCAAGGATACTCCGCATTCTCTTCAATAAGATTTGGGATGAGGAAAAAGTACCAAAAGACTGGAAAGAAGGACTTCTGGTCAAAATACAAAAGAAAGGCGATCTCAACAACTGTGATAACTACAGGGACATCACTCTTCTCTCAATGCCAGGAAAAGTCTTCAACAAGGTATTGTTAAACAGAATAAAGGACTCCGTAGATGCCCAACTGCGATACCAACAGGCAGGATTCCGTAAGGATAGATCGTGTACAGACCAAATCGCAACTCTACGGATAATTGTGGAACAATCAATTGAATGGAATTCATCACTGTACATCAACTTCATTGACTACGAAAAGGCATTTGATAGCGTGGACAGAACAACACTATGGAAACTTCTTCGACACTACGGCGTGCCTCAGAAGATAGTCAATATCATACAGAATTCGTATGATGGATTAATCTGCAAAATCGTGCATGGAGGACAGTTGACAAAGTCGTTCGAGATGAAGACCGGTGTCAGGCAAGGTTGCTTACTCTCACCCTTTCTCTTTCTCCTGGTGATCGACTGGATCATGAAGACGTCAACGTCTGAAGGAATGCGCGGGATACAATGGACATCTAAGATGCAGTTGGATGATCTAGACTTCGCAGACGATCTGGCCCTTCTATCCCAAACGCAACAACAGATGCAGGAGAAGACAAACAGTGTGGCAGCAGCCTCAGCAGCAATAGGTCTCAATATACACAAAGGGAAAAGCAGGATTCTCCGATACAACACAGAATGCACCAATCCAATCAAAATTGACGGAGAAGATTTGGAAGATGTACAAACCTTTACATATTTGGGCAGCATCATTGATGAACAGGGTGGATCTGATGCAGATGTGAAGGCGCGGATCGGCAAAGCAAGAGCAGCATATTTACAACTGAGGAACATCTGGAACTCAAAGCAACTGTCAACCAACACCAAGGTCAGGATTTTCAATACAAATGTCAAGACAGTTCTACTGTATGGGGCAGAAACCTGGAGAACTACAAAAGCCATCATCCAGAAAATACAGGTGTTTATTAACAATTGTCTACGCAAAATACTTCAGATCCATTGGCCGGACACTATTAGCAACAACGTACTGTGGGAGAGAACAAACCAGATCCCAGTGGAGGAAGAAATCAGGAAGAAGCGCTGGAAGTGGATAGGACACACATTGAGGAAAGCACCCAACTGCGTCACAAGACAAGCCCTCACATGGAATCCTGAAGGTCAAAGGAAAAGAGGAAGACCAAAGAACACATTACGCCGGGAAATGGAGATAGACATGAGAAAAATGAACAAGAATTGGATGGAACTAGAAAAGAAGGCCCAGGACAGAGTGGGTTGGAGAATGCTGGTCAGCGGCCTATGCTCCATTGGGAGTAACAGGCGTAAGTAAGTAAGTAAGTAATGAGTAGAAAAATTAGATATAAAATATTTGTCCTCTGAAGAAGTAGCTTGCACGAAGTCACGAAACGTCAGAAAATCTAA